GGCAAAAATCAAGATCAGTTGAACAGTGTCCTGTAGTATAACACACTGAAGACTGCTCTATGAGATGGAAACTCATACACAAAAATGGGTGAATTGACAACGTAAAAGAGGGGGCATGAAGATGACCGACTCTTGACCTTGACCCATCCTTCACCTAGAAAACTGAGGCCAATCCCCCAGTGATCCCTCTTCTTCTCATCTCAGAATCCCTTGACATTATCCCCCACCATCCCCTCCTTTATTGCCGTCTCTGGTGAGAAAGAGAATGGCCAAGGGCAAATCCCTTTCCCTCTGCAGTAGATTTTCTCCATTAATACCTTTGCTCTCTTTCTAATCATCAAATGCTTATCTATTGATTCCTTCCCAGCTGCCCACAAATACAGCCAAATATCTCCCATTCTTTTAAAAAAAAATTAGTGAAACCTATCATCTCATCCCCTCAAGTTGTGGCCTTAGATCTTTCCTCCCTGTCTCAGCTACACTCCTTGAAAAAGCCGTCTACACTCAGTGCAAGGTGGTACAGTAGGAAAAGCATTGGATTTGGAATCAGAGGACACACTCCTGATGCTTACTTATTATTTTGGGTAAGCCACTTGCCCTCTCCAGGCCTCAGTTTACCCATTTGTAAAATGAGAGGGCTGAACCCTTCTAGCTCTAAATCTATAATCCCCTGATTTTCCATTTCCTCTCTTCTCACTTTCTTCTGAATCCTTTTCAGGCTGGTTTCCTACTTCATCGCTTTGTTAAAACTCTCCACAAAGCTACCAGTGATCTCTTAATAGCTAAATCAAATGCCCTTTGCTCAATTCTCTTCCTTCTTGATTCCTTTGCAGTATTTGACAGTACGGACTAGCCTCTCCTGCCGGAAAATCTCTCCTCTTTGGGTTTTCATGACACTACCCTCTTGGGTCTTCTTGGTGCCATCTTGATTCCTTCTTCTCACTCATCCTTCATATCCAATTGACTGCCAGATCTAGTCTCCACATCTCCAACCTCTCTCTCTCTCTCTCTCCCCAACATCTATCCTTCTCTCTTCATTTAGAACTACTGAAATTCTTGCCTGACTCCTGGAATAGCTTTCTAATTGATCCTCTTGCCTTCAGTCATTTGAGGACTAGGGAAAGGAATCAGACTTGTATGGTTTACAGAAGATGTCCTCAAACATTTGAAGGGCTGTCATGTAGATGAGTGATTACACATGTTCTATTTGGCCCCAGAGAGCAGAATCGGGAGCAGTGAGTAGAACTTCCAAAGATGCCAATTTAGGTTTGGAGTCAGGAAAAACTTCCTAATCAGAATTATCCTAAAGTGGAGTGGCTCCTCCTCTTTGGAGTTCTTCAAGCAGAGCATGGATGACTGCTTATTGGGTGTATTACAGGGGCGATTCCTTTCATGGATGGACAGGACCAGGTGGTCATGGTGGTGCCTTCCAACTCAGCTACTGTGTTTCCGGGAAGCCTTTACCAACCACGCCAGTCCATCCCACACATAGCTGTCAGGGTGGGTGGGTGACCTGTCATCCCTCTACTCAATAAATGACATGGCTCCCAACGATCTCTAGCACCAAGTAGAAACTCATTTGTTTGGCATTTAAAGCTCTTTACAACCTGACTCCAACCCACCTTTCCAGTCTTATTACACTGGCTGTTTCCCATGCCTAGAATACACTCTTGTCGTATGTCCATCATTTACATTTCCTGGCTTCCTCCCTTACTCTACTCAAGCACTACCTTCCACATGAGGCTTTCCTGGTCCTCTCAGCTTTCAGTGCTGTGTGTCCCCCTTCTATTGTGTGTATTTGGCTGTATTTAGTATAGGCTTCTTGTTTCCTCTGAAACTCCTTGGGAGGAAAGCCTATTTAATTTATGTATTTGTAGCCTGAGTGCCTGGGGGCAGTAGGTGGGGAAGAGGATAGAATGCCTGGGCCTAGAGTCAGGAAGGATCATTTTTGTGAGTTTAAATCTGGCCTCAGACCCTGGGCAAGTCACTTACCCCTGTTTGCCTCAGTTTCCTCTTCTATAAAATGAGCTGGAGAAGGAAGGGCAAACCACTCCAGCATCTCTGCCAAGAAAACCCCAAATAGAGTCAGGAAGAGTCAGACCCAACTGAACAACAACTTTACTTAGCCCTAGTGCCTAGTATAGTGCCTAGCATATAGTGGAAACTTAATATGTGCTTTTTGATTGGTTGATTAAATTATTATGAACATTATTACCTAGAAATTAATTTTAAGTGAAATAGTTGCAAATAAATGTTTATTTATGGTTGTTTAAAGTGGAGGGCATGATAAATAATTCAATAAGTTAAATAAAATATTCTGAGAAAAAGCCCCTGGGATGGGTGTCACATCCCAGCGATTGACTACATGCCAGAAGAGAGTGCAGCTAAAGCTTTCTGGGTGAACATCTGGGACTATCAGCTGAAAGTCTTAGCCATGGCTCAGAAATCTCAGGGCGGTCCAGCTCAGCCTCAGGGGAAGAGTCCTGCATCTCAGCTATTCCCACTGTGCCCAGGGTGTGGGGCTCCTGGGTTTGCTAGAGAGCTTCACCATTCTGGAGTGCCATGGCCCTGCCAGACAGCTTTGCGAGGCACCATGGGCTCTCACACTTGACCTCTTCCACCCAGGCTTGGGTGCTTCTGCCCACTGGTTCCTTGGGACTCAGTGCTGTTGCATGTCCGGTAGCCCCCAAACTGACCAGGGCTCTGAAGGCACTCCCCCTAGGAGGGGCTGGGGCCCCAGCTCAAGGTACAAAGAAAGAGGGGAAAAAATAGCAGGGTTCCTGGCACCTGCTAAGTAAGCATTTAAGAAATGCTTATTGACTAGCAAGTTGACTGACCAATAAATTATGAAGTATCATGTATGTATATACACACAAGAAACACACACATACATGCTATATACCCATGAACACATATTATGTGCATACATGAATCATACACGTACTATATACATCAGCAAATTTTTTGTGACCTGCGTATGTGGTATTTTTGTATCCACATGCATACACACACCACAAAACACTTAAGCTTTTTTTGTGTGATATGTGTGGTCAGAATGTGAGATGATTCATTTACATATGTGCATATGCATATATACTCTGATATGCATATCCCATATACTGTACTGTGCATGTGATTTCTTTGCATTTGATATGTGTAATAAGGGGGGGAGTAGTTGTGTCTATGTGTGTATAAAGGCAAATACACACTGTGCATACACCCACTTAGGCTCTCTCTGATGGATGTGCATGAAGAGGAGTTAGGCGTGAGATGGGTGGTGGGGGAAGGGTTGTGTAAGAGAATATATTCAGATAGGCACCACACTTAAAGGTATGAGTAGTGTGTGTGTGTTCACAAGGGGCTTGCGTGGCACACAGATACACACAATACATCTATCTAGATCTTCTCTGTGTGATATGTTTTATGTGGGTATAAGTGTGGACAAACTCAAATACACGCAGCACACATCCATGCACGATTAGTGTGTGTGTGTGTGTGTGTAGTTGTGGGACTTGCATGTATACTTGTGCAAACATAGAGTATACATATATGCATGCACACGTACATGCATAAACACAAGTTTTCTCACAGTGTGATCACGTATGTGCCATCGCAATGTGGGGGCTTGATGTGACCAGATTGATAGCACCTCTCAAGGGAAATCCAGACTGGCATCTGGAGCGGGCGCCCCCCGATGTGCGAGGAGCTAGTAGGCGAGGGTCCTTTGGACTCTGGCTTACCCCCTTTCCCAGCCCCTCTCCTAAAGGCGCCTGGCACTGGGGTTGAGAGAAGTTGAGAGAAGGGGCCCCCTAAAGCCGAGCCAAGTTCCCTTCCGTTGGAGGTAGGCGCCCCAGTCACCCTCCCTTCCCCCTCCACCTTAGCCCCCTCCCCGCAGCTGTTCCTCTGCAGGAACTGGGGCGGGGACGGCAGACAGAGGAAGGAGGGGGAGGGAGGATGTCGGACAGCCGGCTTCGCAGCCCCTCCCCACGCCTTAGCCCCAGCCTTGGCACGCCTTCCCCCACCTCCCGCCCCTATACCCTAGCCGGACATCGAGTGCCCACGCCGTGAGCTCCGGCCTCGGGGGCGCTGGGGGGAAGGAAGGGGAGATTGTATCCCCGGAGAGACGCGTGCCAGGGTGGACCCAGCTTTGCCGGTGCGAGAAAAGGGAGGAGGAGCTTGGGAGCCGAGAGCATCTCCCCAGAAAGCCCCAGCATCCCCACCTCCGGCCGCTCAGCTCCAGGCTCCACCCCTTTGCCCAGCCCAGCCTGGTGCGGGCTTCGAGGGGAGGCACCAGGCAAGAGCTCAGGCTGGGCCGGGATGGGCTGGGCTGCGAGATGAAGTGGCCGCCAGCTGCCCATCAGGAGGCCTCCTGGCTGCCTCCCCCGCCCACCCGCTCCAATCCCCTTTTCGGCCCTGGCTCCGGGCTTGTTCCTGCTCTCTGCACATTCGCATCCTGCATCCCAAGCGTCCCCGGAGGCAGGTGCCTGCCATCCGATCCAACTGCTGCAGCCTGGCCCCCGGCTGGCTTGAGGACCGCAAATTAACAAGAGCTCCCCAGGAGCAGGGGAAGAAAGATGCGCTGCTAACTCACAACTAGCGGGTGGTTCTGTCCTTCATTTTCCCCAAGACCTGCGCTGTGTGTGTGCGTGCGTGCGTGTGTGTGTGTGTGTGTATGTGTGTGTAACCTCGGACAGCCCACTCCACCAAGCTGCTGTTGGGCTTTTTGCTCGCTTGCTTTTCTTTCTTGGGGGTAATAATCCCATGCAATGGCTTTCACTACTCGGCTGTGAGTGAGAGGCTGGGGGAGAGCAGAGCTCTCATTCTCAGCTGGGAGTGGTTCTCTCTTTGTGCCTGAATGAGTGAGGGAGTGAGCGTGCGTCTTCAGCATCCCCAGCGCTGGACACCTTTAAAACACGCACCATCGTTGTCATTAGTTAATATTCGAGAGGATCCTTGGGCAGGGCTTCTGTGAAATGCTATTTTGGTTAAAAGAAGACGAAATGTCCCATCAGGAGCTCACCCAGCGGCTGGCCACAGTGATCACTCATGTCGGTGAGTAAAGCCTTTGGACTTGAGGTGGGGAAGGTGTTGTAGAGGGCGTGTTTGGAGGGGGATAAGGTGGTCTCATCGCTTTCGCATGTCCCCAGGTGTCCCTACTTTCCTGGCATACTCAGTCCCTGGGGGCAGGGAACGCTGGTCATCCCTTTACTAAGGACATGGTTCTTTGTGTGTGTTGCTATCTTACTTAGCCTTTCTCCAGAATCTGCTACAGGGATCTGGGGGCATCTCTGGCAAAGGTTCTTGGTTCCCCCTCCCTATTCTGGTTCCTATCAGAACCTCTCGGGAGCTGTCTGCTGTGGTTCTGGGTTATCCATCAGCCTGTTCTGGGTCAGACCAGGGGTATGTTTCTGATCCCCTTCGTATGAGGGCTGCTTTGCTGGGGTTGGGGCTCCTGAGACAGGGTAGCTTCAAGATGATGGTGACAAATCTGCTTTGCTCAGACCATATCTGACTGGCGTGGGCAGTGCCCATTCTGAGCATGGCTGGCAAAACTAACCCTAAAGCAGAAGTGGTTGATATAGCCGGATGATGGGTGAATCAGCACATGGATGCTAGCTTCTGTCTCTCAAATATTCCTTATTTTTTTTTTTTTTCTGGTCTAGCTGGGTAGTTGGTGTGGCCATTCAACTGGAAAATGAGAAATGAATGCGGGGGCTTTTCTGGTATGGGTTGGACTAGATGGCTGCTGTGGTCTCTTCCAACTCTGAAATTCTGTGATGCTACTGAAATGAAGCCGCCCAGGGAGAGGAGCTATGGACTGAAGGCGGCTCCCTGGAAAAATCCAGACCCATTGATGGGGAAGCCAAGTCCAGACAATTTCACCTGGCAAAATATCCAACTGAGAAGTGGAGAGATTGGCTCCAGGCTTCTTTATCCCTGAAGCTTTGGGAGATTATAGAAGTGGCCACATTCCTCTTGACTTTTTTTTTTTTTTAAACAGAGAGGCTTTCCCCACAATAACCCACTGGCCTCTAGTGTGATTATTATCATGTCCATTGCATGGGTGAGGAAACTGAGGTTCAGAGAGCAATTTACCCATGCTCACAGAGCACTAAGAGGCACTGGATCCCAAGTGTACCTTTCCTACCCCACCTTCCACCTTCATCCAGAGCTCTTTCCACTTCATCTGGGGATAGGATATGAAGGCAAATCTCATAATGACCTTTACTTTTTTTTGGTTCTCCCTCCTCCAGTTATTAATGCTATTCAATCAAACAGCAAGCATTTATTAAGTGCTTACTGTATGTCAGGCACCGTGTACACTTAACACCTACAACAATTTAGTATTCATTTTATTTATTTATGCACATGTTATTTTTTCTTTCATTTATTTATATACATTTTCCCCCCTTTTAGAAGGTAAACTTCCGGGGCAGCTAGGTGGTACAGTGGATAGAGCACCAGCCCGAGAGTCAGGAGGACCTGAGTTCAAATCCTGCCTCAGACATTTGACACTTACTAGCTGTGTGACCCTGAGCAAGTCACTTAACCCCATTGCCTACCAAAAAAAAAAAAAAAGAGACTCTCTCATTTTTGTCTTAGTAACCTTAGTGACTAGAATAGTATCTGGCATCTGGTAGGTACTTAAAAAATTTTTGTTTGTAAGATCGTAAATATATAGGGGACCCCAAAGATCATCTGGTCCAATCCCTCATTTTACAAATGGGGAAACTTAAACCCATGGAGGTTAAGTGACCTGCCCTAGGTCACACAGGTGGTAAGTGACAAAGCCAGGATTTGAATCCAGAGCCATCATTTTTTGTATTGTATGCAGACATTCCAACTGAATTGGCATTCTGACCTGTAGGAAGCACACCCGGGTTTAGAATAAAGCTGAGAGTGGCCTATGCTGAGTGTAAATTAGAACCCCTGAAAACTTAACTGGTCAGAAGAGTTTTCTCCATTATTCTTGGTTTAAAAATCAAACCAAACCAAACCCAAAGTAATTCAATTCAATTCAACAAATATTGATGATGTCATGTCCCTGTACCCCTCCCTGATCTTGTCTAGATCCACACCAGGGTTAAAACACCAAGGGTCATGGAATGGTGGAGAGAGCACTATTAGGAGTCAGAGGCTCTGCGTTCCAATCCTGGCTCTGTCATTATACCTGTGTGACCATGGGCAAGTCACTTGACACTGAGACCTCTCTGGGTCTCAGTTTATTCCTCTGTAAAATGAGAGGGTTTGAGCTCGATGATCCTAACTAGTAACATTTCAAACATGGCAGGTACATCTTCAACAGCAACAACCTCAGTGTCTCTGTAGCCACTCACTGATGACTCAATATAAGGAAAACCTTCTTGACAAAGAGAGCTGGGGCAGCTAGGTGGCACTGGAGGTGCTCAGGAGGACCTGAGTTCAAATGTAGCCTCAGACACTTACTAGCTGTGTGACCCTGGGCAAGTCACTTAACCCTGATTGCTTAAAAAAGAGAGGAAAAAAAAAGAGCTATCTAAAAGTGGGATGGACTGCCTCTGGTGCTCTTCAAGTAAAGGCTGGGTGATGATTTGTAGAGTATTTTAGGGATGGATTTCTTGTTCAGGTTTGGGTTGGGCTCCTAACTCTGAGGTCCTATAATTCTCTTGTAAGATTATGAAAACCAGTTTGACTGGTACAGTTCTAGCCCTTAGGATGCATGAGTGCTGAGGCTCACCTGACCCCCCAAGTCCAGGCACTGCCCAGATCCCCAGTTCCTTGCTTTGGCATAGTTAGGATTAAGTTTTCGGGTTCTTGCCCCTCACTCCTCATTCCTTACCAGGCAACCCAGAAAATACCCTGATTTCAGCAGTCCAGACGGCCCCACTGTCTTGCCAAGGGTGACGTAGCAATTTCCTATTAATGTCATGTTGACTGTTTAAAATTCTATATTTGTTTGAGCCCAGAGTGATTTGAGGGCCTTGGATCAAACATGTCTTGTTGCATATCTGAGCCACTAGCTTGTCCATGGAGCTAGGGACAAATTGGAGGGGGGAGGGGAACTTCCATATACTCTTCCCCTTTGGAATATGATCCTGCCATCCATGTGGGGCGCCATCACTCTTTGGGTGTGGCTTTCTTCCCCTTGGCCCTGAATCTGGATCTCCAAGAAGCTCAGTCCTGTAATCTTGGTGTTTTAAATACTAGAGTAACCTAAAATGTCATTTCCCTTCTCTGAGACTCAGTTTCCTCATCTGTAAAATAAGGACATTAAACTAGATGGCCCCTCCAGAGCCAAATCCATGAAGATATGTTGCTAAAAATCATCTGAATTCCCCTCATTTTTGCTAGTGCAGACCTGGCCTAGACGTGAAACTGTTTTTTCAATTGTTTACACCTTTCTGACACTTTGCCCTTCATAGTTGAAGCCAACATGTGGTTGATCCTTAAAGCTGATGCCGTGCCCCTGAATGACCATGGTGCCATTGGCCACTCCATTTCCTTGTGCTCACCATGTCAGGGAAGATTCACACTTGGAGAGGTCTCCTGCGCTCTCTGCAGGAATACTGGCATGCATCATGAGTGATAAGGAGGCCCAATTCTGATCCATAAATTCATTTGAAAACATGTTTCGAGTGTCAGAATTATGGCTACGGAGACAGGAATTCTCCATGTCAATGGTCAGCAGCCTTTTCTGGAGAGGGCATGATAAGAATATAAGATTCTCCAGGGCTGGGCCTGTCTCATGTCTTACTGCTGTTTCTCCAGTGCCGAGCACAGAGCTTGGACCTTGGTAGGTGCTTAATAAGTAGTTTTTGAATGAGCATGTTAACTCTAAGGTAGGATGAGTGAAAGAACAGACCTCTGTTCAAATCCCAGCTTGGCCACTTACCAGCTATGTGACTGTCCAGCTATGGACAGCTATGTTGTTTTTCCTCTCTGGGGCTGTTTCCTTTTCTGTAAAATGAGGGGAATCAGATTAGATGATCTCCAAGGTTCCTTCCACCTCCAAGTCTATGTTTTCTGGGGTCTCCCTCCCTCCTTTCTCTAACATTCTGTGTTCTTCCATTCACTCAACAGCCATTTGTTAAGCACCTGCTATGTGCCAGACACTGACCTGAGTACCAGGCATACAAAGAAAAGCAAAAACAGAGTCCCTGACTTTGAGGAGCTCACATTCTAATATAGGAGACAGCATGCAAACAACCACACACATGAAAGATATATATGAAGTTGATGGAAGGTTAGCACCTTCCATCTCCAGGTCAGGGTAACCTGGTGGTTGGACCAATCCAGATACGGTCCCTTCTGGCTCCAATACCTGTGGTCAAGTTAGTGTCACAGCTCTCAGCTTACTGGCAGAACATCTACTCAAGAAAACCTGGAGCTTGAAATAATCTGTATGCTAAATGCCAGGCTTTGAGAGAGACTTCTTGGCATAGTGGAAAGAGCACCATTGGTCTGGTCCTGGCTTTGCCTCTGAGGAACTGTGTGACCTGGGGACCCTCACCTCCCCTCTTCACTTTCTTTCTAGGCAAAATGAGGGGGTTAGACTAGACCCTTAGGTCTCTTAACAATTCTAACATTGTAGGACCCAGTGAGAACTGGGACTGGATGTGAGAGCAGGAGTCTTAGCAGAGAGAAATAAAATTATAGAAGATAATAAGAGATAATAATATTTAGTTAATATTAATTAAGTACTATAACAATAAGAGTAAAGGAGCAAGAGTCAGTTCACTCTGGTCATGTCCCTCCCTCATTTTATAGGTAAGGAAACTGAGGCCCAAAGAACTGGGCCAGGCTCACATATGCAGTAAGGTGCAGAGCTGGAAGTCAATCCCTGGTTCTGAATGGGACCTCAGAGCTGTGCATACACCGAGGTGGGAGAGTCCTCAGAAAACATTCCCTGGCTCCCTGTTTTCTATTGTATTCAGCTGGATGTCTGGGGGAAAAGAACTTCTTAATAATATAACTGACGCACAGTGCAGCGGTCATCATTATTGAAGGTCAGTCATATGAGAATTGATTAATGATGATGATGGTGGTGAGGATGGCTAGCATTTTTATAGCAC